CTTTGAAAATTCATAGTAATTCATACAAAAATGATAAAATAGAAAATGAGGACTTTTTAGAATCCTTGTGAAATTATCTATGCATTAGATCTATAATATGGCATATTTTAGTTTAAAGTTTTAGCTGCAAAAATGGATTTGTGCAGTTAGGGTTTGAATGCTGGTCTTACTTGTCTTTTTCATAACTGCAGTTGTTGTGCTCAAATAGTTGTGAAATTTTTGTGGAGTGCTACTAAGGTTATTCTTGATGTCTGGTAAAAATTTCAATATTTTAGGCTTGATAGTTTAAGAGTTATAAAAATAACAAATGCCCTGTTTTGATTTGCTCCTATTCTGAATCGGACTGCATGTTTGAATTTATTGGCTTAGTGAAGTTATGAATCATGACTTTATGATAATACATGAGTTGTAGTACTTTTATTAAGCTTTTCAAAAAGCTAAGTATCATGATTTTTGCTTACGTAGATCTTGAGTTATACTCGCTTGAATCTCTCTGGCTGTTTCTGCCCAAACCCAGAGAGGGTTTCCTTGTTCTTATTGTGGGGCCTTCTTAGTAGTAGAATTAGCTTTAGGTGTTTACAACAAAGTTGTTTATAATTTGCTAAGATTTCTAAAAAGTCTAGAACCACATTTATTGGACATGTATAACTCCATTTATAGCTGTTTAAAGTGGCATGTCAGTTTTACGGCTATGTTTTGGACAGAGATGCAATTATGGGATCAATTGACCCTTGTAACTGTAGAATCATCTTAATATGAGAATAACAAAGTTGTAGGTAACTTCCTAATCTTTTCAAAAAGTTATGATTCATGTTTGTTGGAGGTCTAGAACTCCAGTTATGCTTTTCTGAAGTTTCTATCAGTTTTCTGTACCACTGTTGTTGGGCTGCATTTGCAGTTTTGCTTGTGCAATCATTTTCGTGGTGTAAATGATGTTTCTATGGTTGTAGTGAATACAAAAGTTGTAGCAAATTTCATAATCTTGCTTGTGTTCAAATTGTAAGACCATAGGCCTGATAGTTTAGGAGTTACATGACTTTTAAGTCTTCTGTCAAGTTTTGATTGTATTCAGAGCAGATCTGAAAGATGCTAGTGTTTGATTTAGTTAGGATTTGAATCACACCTAGATGATAATAAGGAAGTTGTATATAATTCATGTATCTATCTGCTGTTAAAATTTGGTGTCATTTGGCCAAGTAGTTTGTGAGTTATGCCTGTTTAAAGTTAGGTGTCGGAAATGTCTGCTCTCTGTCAATTGTGGACCAGTTTCTGTAAATGAGTATATTTGACTTAGTTAACTTGAGAATCATGCTAATATTATTAAAGATGAATTGTAGAAAATTTCATAAGCTGGCCAGAATGTCTTATTGCATGGCTATTGGATTTGTATAACTCTAGTTATGATCCTAACATGAAGCTGTTGTTTCCAGTCCAGAAATAGACATATGCTAGTTGTGGTTGTTTACTCCATGTGTTGCTAAGTGTGGCTTATGCCCTTGTTGATGGTCAAGTTATGATACTTGTGACCTTGTTAAACTTGTGTCATGCTTGATGTACTTGCTCTCTATGGTTAGTTGTGTGATGTTAGTTAAATAGCTATTGGTGTCTATGTTTTGCATAATCTTGTGTTACCATTCATCACATTCATACACATGCATCATGCATCTCATTTAGGTACGCTAGATGAACCACGTGAAGGATGTGATGTGGAGCCAAACTCGAAGATTGGGTTTGGTGGATCTATCCTCAAGATGGAAGGACTAAGCAAGTGCTAGGACCGGAGATGTCACCAAGTCGATGCAAGCTAATTAAACTCAGTGTCGGATCCCGTGCAAGCCCTTGAGCATTATAAGTCTCCTACTTTATAAAAGCAATTCTTTCTATATATATGAGTTTATATATTGTTGCATTAAGTTATAGGAGTTGATTAAAACCGTTGATGCATTTATTACTATCCTTGCCTACCTTATTACCTTTTACCCCGTTAGGTCAGGATCGAATAATCGCTAGCCTTGCTTAGACCGGTAGCGATCGGTGATATCCGGTCACCTACATTATAGGTGGTTTTGGAAGAATTTAGCTATGGAAAGAATGATATCCTGGAATTAACCATGTGTGATGAATAATTGGAGACCGGACGGAAAAAGTTGGAGGCAAACGGACATGGTTCGGGTGCCGTTAGTTTCGTCTGTGGTCGATTAAGGACCGATCGTTGTTTCGCCCCTCTTGTCATGTTGAACGCATGCTCACACATTTAGTGGCCGAATAAAGTACCTTTCGACCATGAAGTTAGTGACACTATTTCGAGCCAGGATAAACTCGGATGCGCAGACCGGTCTTTGAAGAGGGTATGACGGGACGCGAAGAGTGGGCCCAAGGTGCGTCCCCGGCAATCGGGCGGTCCTCGGGTAGTGGTCCATGATGTTATCCCGTAGCTACTTGGAAAGTGTCATTGGTGATCTAAGCGACTTTGACGGGGAAGCGTGGTTTGTGTGGAGGAATAAATCACCGGTGGTTAGGAATCGATTCGAATCGCCATCGCCTCCCGGATAGTGAGCACTTGACTCGAGCCTACGCATCGTAGTAATTATTATGGAACAATGATGGTTATCTGGATGGTATGGGATATGCTAAATCTAAATTGGTAACTAGATGTTATTGGTTAATCAAGTAATTGCTATGGTACGTGTGCTTACCTAGATGGATATGTCATAATAAGATGATGCAAAGTATTTAAAATG